ATTGTCCTTCGGGACATCTGTTAAAATTGGAACGATACAGAGAAGATTAGCATGGCCCCTGCGCAAGGATGACACGCATAAATCGAGAAATGGTCCAAATTATAAAAAAAAAAAGGAAAAAAAGAAAAAAAGAAAAAAGGGAAGAGGAGAGGAAAAAGAAAGGAACATCGGAAACTAATCAAGGAATTTTGAGCAGTTCGAGCGGTAGAAGCAAGGGTGCGACCGTACTACTACCTTCTTCCCCCGAATACAACGTACGGTCGTTATAGATGTATCTAGACTGAATCATTCGTCAAATACAGCTATAATGACCGGACGTTGTATTCGGGGGAAGAAGGTAGACCCTAGGGGGGTTATGGAATAGGCTACTGCTGGAATTTCCAGACTGTGCATGGTAGGAATTGTAGACTTTACGTGGCACTATTTGCTAGATTGCCACGACGGACTACCTTCTTCCCCTGAACACAACGCACCCTCATTTTGACTGTATCGGGCTGGAAACATACCTTATATACGTTCATTTTCAGGGTGCGTTATGTTGGGGGGGAAGACGGGTGGCTACCAGATAGACCCCGACTCCTGGTCCTACCGGTTAGTGCCCGCCTGAATTGCTATTGGCGGGAAATTTTTGTTAGCTCTGGTAGGAATTACGAATTTGAAAGGTCAGTACCCGCCTGAATTTGCAATTGGCGGGAAATCTTTGTGAGCTCTGGTAGGAATTACGAATTTGAAATCTGCGGGTTGCTCACGTCAGTCGTGGAACTGATTGGTTTATGCGATCCAAGCTGTGCAGATTAGACCAATCAGAAGTGGAGTAGTGCAGAATTCCGCTGCAGGTGAGCGTCGAGAGTGAAAGAAGACTACCTGTGATCTATAGCCACCTAGACCATGCGATATGCTCATAGCATGTGGACATACCGAGATACTGGCTCGAAGGGACAGACTATGACATCGACTATTACTGGAGTTACGTCCCTTGGCGCCCGTTGGAGTCGACACGTAATGGACTGAAGAACTAGCGGGATCGATTTCAAACTCTGAACAACTGGAAACAGGTGTAGCAGTAGTAGCGCGTGTAAGTACCCATGCGGGATATGTGCAGTGATGGAAGTACCCATGCGGGATATGTGCAGTGATGGAAGTGCCCGTGCGCGATATGTGCAGTGATGGAAGTGCCCGTGCGCGGTATGTGCAGTGCTGGCTATGATGAGGAGGGCAAGGCCGTATCGGCCCTCCATACTCAGTAGGCGGGAGGACTGTCGGTGGGGCGCAAGGTATGGTTGTGGGGGAAGCCCATTGAGGATGATCGGAGAGCAGCTGATGGAAACGCACGTCGGGGAACGTGCGCGTAAACGGAGAGCAGTATGCGCGGCTATGCACTGAAGTTCTTTTGAAGCGTGTACGAAAGGCAGTTGGCCCCTGTTTGCGCTATTCTGTGTACTAAGCATGGTAACCGGATGAGAGGAGATACTCACACTAGCAGCGTCCAAGCAGAAGCGAACAGATACGAGCTAGCGAGAGACGAAGTAGAGTATAGAAATCAGGGCGTGACAGTACGGGATCGAAGGTTAGCAGCGTCCAACCAGACGCGAGTATAGAAACCAGATACGAACTAGGGAGAAACGAAGTAGAGTGTAGAAATCAGGGCGTGAAGGTAGGTACACGCCTCGGTCAGGATGGCGTCAGCAAGCAGGCGGGAGGAGGCAACTCTGGCATATGCTTTAACTGTGGCCAGAGTGGACACTTTGCGAGAGATTGTACGTGCGAGCGCCACGTGTCAGAGAGAGAGAGGGGGGGGGGG